GGGCTAGTGCTGTTGCCAGGGACTCAACAGGTTAGGATGTTTAATTTTGCCCCCAACAGAAAAACCATCACCTTACCGGGTCTCCCGTATGCCAGCTCAACATCGTAACTGCTTCTCTACCAGTCACTAACAAGTCTGTAAATGGCTGGCCATGCAGCTGGTCGAGGAGTGGCCATGATGTAAATGGCTGGCCATGCAGCTGGTCGAGGAGTGGCCATGATGTAAATGGCTGCTTATGCAGCTGGTCGAGGAGTGGCCATGATGTAAATGGCTGCCCATGCAGCTGGTCAAGGAGTGGCCATGATGTTAATGGCTGGCCATGCAGCTGGTCAAGGAGTGGCCATGATGTAAATGGCTGCCCATGCAGCTGGTCGAAGAGTCGCCATGATGTAAATGGCTGGTCAAGGAGTGGCCATGATTTAAATGGCTGGCCATGCAGCTGGTCAAGGAGTGGCCATGATGTAAATGGCTGCCCATGCAGCTGGTCGAAGAGTCGCCATGATGTAAATGGCTTACCCGCTGGTCGCAACCAGGCTTTCTTAAAAAATGACATTGGCTCCTAGGTTGTCCCAGCCTTGCGTGGGTACTATGTGCAGTCATGGGAAGTAAAGGCGATCAGCCAGATGCTGAGCACATCACTCACCAAGTGCTGATTGGTCTATAAAATATAGGTCTAGCCCTATTTACGTGAAGGGATGAAAAAAGTTCCTTTACTTTTTGTGAATTGGTTGAGGGGTTATGTGCCCCTGGGATATGGAAGGCATGAGCAGACTGTCTCTAGTATACATCAATGCTGAGTAATTTGTTACCTGTGTGGGTTCCAGTTTTGGTGGGAACAAGAACAGACCCACTGCCTTCGCAACAAGCATGTCAGAAAATGTGACTAATCAAGAGTTTGCTGAAATCAGACCTGCTAGACTGGTGCAGATATCGCAGCCTTGCTGTAAACCACATGTCAACTGCACTTTTAAGGGTGAACACAGAGGAGTGAAGAAAATTTTGGAACTCACACAGGGAGCGTTTTAAGAACTGGGCATACAGATATATCTGCCCTCTGTATACATATCTCTTATATTATTTTGTTTACTGACCTCTTGTTATAATAATCTTAGCAAGAATAATATCTGCAGTAAAGAACTGTTATATGAGGTTCATAAGTTAGAAATGATATCAGACAGACTGTAGGAACAACACCATGCAGCACATTCACTGAGAAACAAAAGATCAAATGGTTTAGTTATTGAGTAAAAATGCAGCCAGAACAACTACCAACACAGACGCTACACATGAACAGGTCTGAAATGAAAGCAAGAGGCTCCCCTAGGTGAAGATGGATTGATGATATTCAAGAGCTCCTACATCAAAACGGTATGACAATAGCCATTGCTGCCCATCAAACAATGGATCACAATCTGTTTCTCCCCACAACGCTTAATAACAGGTGGAAATTTAACATGAGTATGAGGTTTTTGTATTGTTGCATGAATTCTTTGTGGCATAATGTTTAGTGATTCATTTGTTTGACTACCCAGCAGTAGATGCAGCTACATAAATATAGTTAAAATCATAAATATTTATTCACATGTGAATCTTGTTTTATTTCACTTGCATGCGTATCGTTAACGTAATTTGGAAGTTTAATTGTGTGCTGATGTGTGTCACCGGTCTTTTGAGACACTGTTTGTGTGTTTACAGTCAGTAAAGACAAACACACACACACATCTGCTTGCTAAAAGTGTTTTTTATATGTATTAACAGTAAATCAAGACAACACACATAGCCTCCTTAGCAAATATGTATGTGTGAGTGTATTTTTTCAATCAAGACAAAACACAGAAAATCTGCTGTATGTGTGTATTTGGGCAGACTGTTTTTCTGCCTAATGTCACTGGACAGGAAGTAACTGAGGATGTTGAGAACATTGTAGGCAGAGAAAAAAAACATAGTGAGCTGCCGGTCTCACTAGATCACTCTTTAAAATTATTAAAGCAAAACGTGTGCCGTCTCCATAATTAATGTGGATTGCAGTGTATACTCTGATCATTATAGGAATATTAGGTGCTGAGGCCCCAATCTTCTATGGTGTGACTTTCATACAACTATATGAAAGCCATAAGAACTGATTATAATCCCTTGCTACACCTCTGGCTAGACACATTTCCCCCCCCCCCCCCCTCCCCCCAATTGAAGCCTTTCTTTTCCTAAATGTATCTGATCAGAGAAAAAGAAGTCGTCACCTTATATTTTGTCATGAAAATCCTTGTGTCTGAGTCTGTCCTCAACATGTGTTTGTTACAAGCAGGATCAGAGATTTAGCAACTTTAGTTTCTGGTTATCACTGTTTAGGTTATCACTTTTTGGATGTTGCTAATTAGATTTTTTCTTTCTGTGTCTGAACATATGTTTTTGTGATTTGCTATTCTGTTATGTCAAGGGTCAGATTATATAGTAATTTTACACCAGCTTGCCAGCCAGTAAAAATTCCTCAACAGGCAAGTTTTGGCCAGCGGGCAAGTGTGCCCATGCCTGCTATATAACCCGGGGGGGGGGGGGGGGTGGGTGGGTTGATTGACACAGAGGAATATTTGTCTGCTGTAAAGGTGGTGTCATGACTGACAATTTGGTTCTGAGAGTTTCAAGTTGGAGGAAGCCATGACACAAACACAAAATTGGTAAACATCCAGAATGACCACAAACAAGTTCTTCAAGTACAAAAGATAGCAGCTAATTCCACAATGTGGACCTCATGCAGCAGAAGTTAGTTCAATGCTTAAGTCACCTGATGATGAAGACAGGCAAGTAACTGGGGACAGCTGACATAATACTTAACAGAAATGGTAACGAAAAAGTATACATAACCACACACCATACTCAGGAAGAGAAACATAAACACATGGAGTGGGTCTCGTGGTACATCCAGGGTGAGCAGCCTATTCAGTGAAAAAAAAATCATCTTCCACGAAACTGAAAGCCTCAAAGTGTCTAGTCTACCATATGGCATTGATGATGTTTCTCTTACACTTAGATGGCCCATTCCTGATAGTCATGCTGCCAGCCAGAGCGGCTGCTCTCTCATTATTGCCTTTTACACCAGCATACCCTGGGACAAAAATGAAAGTGATTTTGGTTATCAGTGTTCCCATAATAAAGAGTGAGCTGTATTGAGCTGGGTTTCATCTCTCTGTCCGTACCAGTGCTCCCTTAACAACATTCAGTTTATTGAGTATCCAGCGTGAGACTGACTGATTCAGTCGCCTTGTACAATAAGCTTAAGGCACAGTGGGTCTGTTCTTGTTTCCAACAACTCAGGTGGGGAGCCTTCTGCCAACAAAACCTAATCATCTACTTCTGTTTCAACCAACTCAGTAACGTAACTTTCCACAAATATTTATTGTGCTAAACATCTACACATTTACAAGGATAGTGTCCAGGTCATGCTGGACTGGGAGGTCATGAGTGAGTGGATCTCCTGTCTTCAAGGGTGTCACAAGTTGGAACACTCATGATGGACAAGACAGCAATTGTAGACTGCCATGGTTCTGTGCATGATGCGGGAGAATCTGCTTGGGGATTCTCAGCTGGAATCAGAGGAAAGGCTTTCCTGGGCAGAATGGAGCCAAGGGTGTGTCCATGGCTGATTGGTTGAAGCCAAGGGTGTGTCCATGGCTGATTGGTTGAAGCCAAGTTTGTGTCTATGGCTGATTGGTTGAAGCCAAGGTTGTGTCCATGGCTAATTGGTTGAAGCCAAGTTTGTGTCTATTGCTGATTGGTTGAAGCCAAGGGTGTGCCCATGGCTGATTGGTTGAAGCCAAGGGTGAGTCCGTAGTTAAACCCTTTGCCTCATGCCCTGAAGGTCATGGGACTGTTGCTGAGCTACAGAGTCTGTGCTATGTCTGACTTTCAGCTGAGAGACCAAACCAATGCGGATACAATCCCAATGCAATGACCTTTGAACTTTTGAGCTTTAGAATGAAGCTAAAAGGACTGCAACTATGTTTTGTTTGCTTACTTGTTTAAGTTCCCCGGCTGTGAACTCTGGCGGAAAGTCCTATTTATTTGGACTTTGGCTTGTGCCAGGATTTGAGTACCTGTTTTACTGGTTTATTTGTGTGCAGTATGTTGCTCCTTGCCTCTCAACAGATGTACTCCAACGCTGAAGGATCAACTGTAGGTGTAAAGATTGATGTGTCTGTGATTGGTACAACTCTGAGGTGGCTGGTTCATACTGGTCTCACTAGAACCACCAGGGAGCCATAGTAAACTGTGAATGACCAGTCTTTAAAGGCAAACGGATGAAGCATCCTATTTAAGGATCTGTTAATCTGAATTTACATGTGGTTGCAACAAGGAGGGAGGTATGGACAATCAAATCTAATACACATATAACCAATCTGTCACAAAGATGAGACGGAGCATCTATGGGTTTTCTCAGAGAATCATACACATTTAATGTTACCAAGGAAAGGGGGAAAGCAGATACAATGGGACAACAGGAAAGTTATAGACGCAGAGAAGTAAGGGCAGACAAAGGGATGATGACACATGGGTTGTCAGCATGATGCAAAATAACAAGATCTGAAATGACTGGCTATAACTGAGCTGACATGTGAGTTCACAGAGGCAACTCACCTGATAATCTGATCTGAGCATTCGAAACCAAACACAAAGAAGAAGAGACGAGAAAGCTGTGGGTAGACATATTGATGAACGTCGCATGGCATAGAAGAGAAGCACCATCACCAGGCATCTGAAAATCATGTCAAGCAACAAGATATTAAATTCTTTTCCTGTGTTTGCTCTTACAAATGCATTTAACATACTGTGTTGTGGTTTACAACTAGGCTGCAATATCAGCACTTTTAGCCTAACATATCTGACCTTTATCAAGATAAACTTTGGCTCACAGGTCCACCCAGCCTCAAATAGGTACCAGGTAAATTCCTGGACCTTGCCCCCCCCCCCCCCCAACATGGGGTCCTCAAACCCACAATGTCAAACTGTTATCTGCACTCAACATCATTAACACCATTAACATCAATGTGAATTCTCTGTAAAACATCCCCACATCGTCCACTGATTTTGACGTCTGCATGTTTATGTCCTCGAGTCGGGCCAATGTTCACGATGGCAATCTTCATGCCGTGGCTGCTTGCTCTGCTTATAAACCGATAGCCTGAGTAGACCTGTAGGACAGATCAAATGAGACGGTTACAAACCTCTTTGTACATTTGTACGAAAACATTTAAAGGACCTACTTCCCTGTAATTCAATAGGTATATGTGCTATGCCCATGTTTCTGTGTTCTTGGTGGTCACCTTGACTTCTTTTTGGGTGCAATGCCGCCTTTTGTAATTGAGCTCTGCGCCAACAGTGAGCTGAAATTCTGGTGTGGGACTGTTAGTGGTGGCACAGCTGCCTCATGCATTATTTAGCATGTGCAAGCATCAGGGGGAAAGGGGGGGGGGGGTGGCATGATCCCTTCCTTGGAACCCCTCTCCCCCCAAAAAAACTAAAAAATTCCTAAATTTTTTTTGCACAGACCACTAATAAATTAGTGACACACTTAGTTATGTACATTTGGAAATATGTTGGGGGGGGGGGGGGGGGGGATATTTGGAGATAGTAATCAACAGACATGAACAGGTTGAAGAATTAAATGAAATAAATTCCAGAGGTCAAAAACATGCATCGAGCGACCCATGCTGTGCTCTCTTTCACTTATTGGAAACTTTTACATCAACTTGGCTGTATAAAAGCTCGAAGGACCCCGAATGCTATGTTTAGTTAATGTATTCGAATCCTGACCTCTTAAATATTTACATAGCCACGAAAAAGAGCCAATAGCATTAACTACGAGTCTCGTAAATGAGTCACTATAAACAAGTTGGAAAAATATTTACAGAGAACTGGACCTACCGGAAGTGTCAGTTTTGAGGCTTCTCAGAGCAAAAGGGTTTTAAACAGATGATCTGTGTTAAAGAACTAGGGGTAATTAATAACAGGACATACAATCCATGTATGACGATGACATGGTTGACAAGGGATAGTACTGGAAATAACTTCACTTGAAAACGGAATAACAGTTATCTGCAATAGTAGATCTTCTGTCTTCCTCCTAGTTCAAAAATGTAAGTCCAGAGGATCCACTTTATTGTTATTCTCCATCATGATGTCAAACCATCCATCATGATGTCAATCCATCCATCATGTTCTTTTTCTTCTTAGCGTTCAACGATTTTAAACTCCAGTGAAAAGTTCTGGTTGTTCATCCACTTCTGGATTTGTCAAGTGCCAGCCTGAGTTTTGCATGTACATCCGTTTTACAATCTGGCCTATTTGTACAAAGACTGTTGGTTCCTTGTTTCTCAGGCAAATGCACTCAAACTTCGCAGGAAATACTCCTAATTAGTCAACTTCTACAATATGCTGGTTAGGAGGCAGTGGGTCTATCCTCCCTCCCACAATCCACAATGGGATCCCAGAATGCACCATCTAATCTCTTTGTCTGGCTGGGTCAGCAAGAGCTGTACTGGTGAAAACAGTTATCCTCTCGCTGCTAGGGATAGAACCAGCATCACGGTCTTAGTTAGAAAGTTTAGTCACCACAGTATCTCCACATTTCTTTCTCGACTACAAGTAATCTGAATATGGTGGCGGGAACCCAAGCAATGACCTGGCTAGAGACAGACTTTTTCCCATGGGCTCAGTGACAATAGTTGGAGTCTCTGAGGAAATCTTACTTGTCAGGAATCAGTTTCATTTTTGCACCAGGACACTGAAGTAAAAGGGGAATGAACAAGTAGACTGGCTTGCCGGTAGGGCCATGGTAAGCAGTGGACGGAGCCGATATTCTCAAGGAGGCAGGATAAGTCGATGATTCAGGAGAAGAAAATGAACTGGCAACTCTGACAAGACAAGAACTCCAGGTCAAAAGAATCCAAGAAATGCAAAGTCAAAAAACGGTTGTCAGTAAGTGCTAAATACAATATGAAATGTGACTGCAAAGCTCAACGATGGGAATGGAAACATTTGCGCACAAATACAAGCGAACATTTCGTTCAACGTCTTTATCAACTAAGTACTAAATACTTCACAAACTGGAAAAATCAACGGACAAGGCAACAGAACTTCTAAACAACCAAGGTCAATATAAGCCCAAGAACATTCAGTTGAAAGTTCCAGTCACAGTTTGTGCTGCATTTAGTACTCGGTTGATAAAGACTTTGGTAAAAACGTTCATTGGTATTTATTTCGTCTGTATGATTCCCTCCGTTGAGGTTCTGGACATATTTCTATGTTGTGTATAACACTTGTTGTCATTAGCTGGACTGCAGTCACAACTTTCTTCTTCTTCTTTCGTTCACTTGGAATAGATTATGTATATCTGCAATGTTGTCTTTTGTATGAACTTTACTGTCTTTTGTCAACCTATTTACGTCATCACTTTAGCAGTTGTCAAAAAAGACTGCCCTCAACGTTCTCTAGCGTCTGATGCGCAAAATACACCATCAAAGCATTTGTATTGCAGACTTGCAACTTTTCACAGGGTCGAATTTACACTTGATAAAAGTCGCAAAATCATTGATTATGTCGTAAACAGATATGCTACTTATAAATCGATGGGGTGGGGAGGGGAGGGGTCATGAGGGCCTACGTTGTAGTTTATACCTAAATCCAACACTGACCTTAGACTTGCTTTATAAAAAACAAAATCGTCATGTTCGGCCAACATCCATGAAGGAGGAGCTTTAGGTTATACTTATGACTAGGTTATGTGCGTCACAAAAAATGGTTTAACACTGCACACCACCAAGAGCCATGAAAAGGGACTTCTGCAGTGTTGGTGTGATCGAAGGAGACGGACCTAAATAAATACTGTCCCGACCGACAACGAAGTCGTCTACCGGCGAACCAATGGGCGACCCAGTAGCCGATGTGTCCGGACCTTTCATTATCAGGCCTGTAGTAAGAGTTAAGGGTCAAGGATCTTTCTCACGCCACCGGTGCCTCGGGGATATGACGTTGGATCAATGTTGCCACTTTGGATGTTTTACATCCAGATTTAGATGTTTTCCCATGCATTTAGGTGGCGTTTTTGACGTTTAGATGGTAGACGTTTTTTATTTGGGGTGAATTTATCAAATCTAACCTAAGAAACAGAATAAATTTGACCTCTTAAATGCTATCTTGACAATAAAATTCGGCCTGATAAGAGCAGGAAAAGACTGTTCCACTTATCAGCTCCCTGATTGGGTATTAAAAGAAATTGGAACAGCTAAAGCATAACAATCGTTTTGGATCTGATGCTTCAACTTCATCATTCAAGCTAAGAACAAGACAAGAACTCCATGTCAAAAGAGGTGTTCCCAGACATACAGCCAGAGAAGAATTGTAAACCAACAAAGAACTGTTACAGTTGCCACACGCTGAGGGAGATTCTGAAGATGGGATCCGAGCATTCATGGACTTGTCCGATGTGGAAAGAGGATTATGGGTTGATTAACTAACTTAACCATTTCTTTCTACTGAACCAGATTTAACAAATGACAAATATTAGTCTCCAACAACACAAACCTCCAAAGAAGACCCCACAACTAAAACAGCGTCAGATTCGAACATCTTTCCCAGAACCAAGTGCACCATGCTCTTTGGGACATTGTCTCCGAAAAATGTGATTTCAGGTTTCACATCTCCACCACACGAAGGACATTTTGGAACCTGGAAGGAATATTCACCAAATCATCAATTATTGATTTAAGTATCGACATCATAGCTAGAAAGGATGAGAGATGAGTGTCTGAAAATAAACGGATTAAACACAAATGTTGACAACAATGGTCCTGAAATCCCATGCTATCGTTACGGAAGACTTTTCTTGACACGGGCGGGTCTTGCTAGTCATACTCGCCATCGCCATGGGCTGTGAGTCTCATGCCTCCTCATAGCCCAATATAACATTACCGTCTGGAAAGACAGAAAGGTGCCAATGAATGGTGATGACACATAGCCAGATGCTCCACTACTGCAGCAAATATCTTAAAGTGTAGATGTTAGCTGTTCCAGTGGTATACTGGTTGTTTATATGTTGTACTCTTTCTCTTATATGTCCGTTCTTGCTGTATCACACTCACTTCTGAAGTAGTACAAGCTTACACATGTTGTTTTATCTACCATTGTATTTTCCATCTGCACTTGTTCATAAATAGTCTTTAAAATGTCTGCTTTGCCCAACATTTTTCCTATAGCTGTCTGGAACTAAACAATCAGCTCTTGCATTGCCTCGGACTCCTGCATGTCGAAGACACTATATTAAGGATCAGTATATCCAGGACAGGATATCCACACACTACCACAGTCTAGGCACTCATTCATTCTGTTTTCCTTTTTCTGTCTTTCAGTGCAGAAAAATCTTGACAATCTTTACACAGAAGTCAGCTTGCTAGAATGACCAGTTTCTCTACTAACTAGAGGCATGAAAACCTAGTTCTAGTGGTCTCATCTTCAATGAGGTCAGCTCCGACACAAACATTACAATCTTACTGGTGTCTGCTTAAAAATCAGCATCACAATTTCCCTGGAGTCAGCTGTAATATCAATATCTACTCCCTGAGGACAGCAGTGATATCAATATCACTAACTCTGTGGGGACAGCTGTGATATCAATATTACCAACTCCCTGGGACAGCTGTGATATCAATATCACCAACTCCTTGGGGACAGCTGTGATTTCAATATCACCAACTCCGTGGGGACAGCTGTGATATCAATATCATCAACTCCCTGGGACAGCTGTGAAACCAATATCACCGTGGGGACAGCTGTGATATCAATATCACCAACTCTGTGGGGACAGCTGCGATATCAATAACATCAACTGCTGTGGATCAGATGCAATATCAATATCATCCTCCCTGGGACAGCTGTGAAATCAATATCATCAACTCCCTGGGGACAGCTGTGATATCAATATCACCAACTCTGTGGGGACAGCTGCGATATCAATATCATCAACTGCCTGTGGATCAGATGTGATATCAATATCACCAACTCCGTGGGGACAGCTGTGATATCAATATCATCAACTCTCTGGAACAGCTGTGATATCAATATCATCAACTTCCTGGAACAGCTGTGATATCAATATCATCAACTCCCTGGAACAGCTGCGATAGCAATATCATCTACTCCCTGGAACAGATGTGATATCAATATCATCAACTCCCTGGAACAGCTGTGATATCAATATCACCAACTCCGTGGGGACAGCTGTGATATTAATATCATCTACTCCCTGGAACAGATGTGATATGAATATCATCAACTCCCTGGAACAGCTGTGATATCAATATCATCAACTCCCTGGAACAGATGTGATATCAATATCATCAACTCCCTGGAACAGATGTGATATCAATATCATCAACTCCCTGGAACAGCCTTGATATCAATATCACCAACTCCGTGGGGACAGCTGTGATATCAATATCATCTACTCCTTGGAACAGCTGTGATATCAATATCACGAACTCTGTGGGGACAGCTGCGATATCAATATCGTCTACTCCCTGGAACAGATGTGATATCAATGAGGTCATGTATACTTTGTTCTAGCAGTCAATTACCTTCAAATGACTTTTTGTTGGTCTTACCTGAAAATCTGCTTTGACATCACCACTATCAGGTGCAACATTAGTAACCTCAAGGACCTTTTTCTGGTGGCACGCAACACTACACAGCTCCTGCACATTTTTAGGGATTTTTTTTCAGGGCTACTGTAATAGAAACCTTGTGGTAAGTACCGGCATCTTTTAGACACATTTTGGTGAGTATGAGCACCTTTTTCTAGGGGAAGAAAAAGGTCCAATAACCTCTATATGCAGACCTAGGTTGAGGGCATGTTGAGTTCAAGCCAATAGCCATCTTTCTGTGACCTGTGTAAATCTTACCTGAAAGTCTTTAATGAGATCAGCTCTGATATCAACATCCCCATCAGGCCCGATACTAACAGCCTCCACGGACCAGCCAGGGTTGAGTTCATGTATCATGGCCTGCACCTCATTTCTGGACACTTGAAATGAACAAGACAAGCAATGGACACGATAGCCGCTTCCATGAAGCTCCGTGACATTCTGTGACCCTGCCTTGTAGTGTAACGCATCAACGTTCTGAGTGACCAACCAGTGGATTCGACCTTTCCTCTCCCAGTCGCTGAGAATGTAATGTGACCTGTTTGGCTGGGTCGCTGAAAATTTTGGCCACCCAACAAAATTCCTGGCCCAGTAGCGTTGCCTCACAGAAGGGTTCTTCAAAAAATCAGCATAGATAACGGGTCTGTTTGTGCTTGTTGCATACAACCCCACCCCTTCAGATCTATAGTCGGGGATGCCACTTTCTGTCGAAATACCAGCACCAGTCAAAACAAATAGTTTGTTGTGTGAGTTTATAAAATCTTGTAACTTCTGCAGTTCGTGAGTGCTCACATCTCCACAACTGGGAACAAATTTGTTATCAACAGCATACGATAATGCAGCAACACCAGTGGCACCACTCCCACAAGCATCAGATTGTCGGCCACTATTTCGAGTTCCTACATGAAAATTTTCACATCGAACCATAACCCTAACCCCTAACCCTAAACCCTAACCCCACCCCTCATTTTACACAAACAACCAACCAACACGCAATAAGCAGCCCCACACGCAACTGTAGGACAATGATAGACACCCTACGCAACCCTACACGCACCCCGATGATGATAGGTAAGTATGTCATTTGATTCGTGACTTTTTCCGCGACTTGTTTTGAGTTGTTTTGAGTTTGGCGAAGGGACGTAACTCCCACTAAGCCGGCCGAAGCAGTTTAGCTTACCGGCCAAATCTGCTAGGAGAGCCCAAAATCTTGCCAGTTGTACTGTAGTACTGTACTAATTATCCTTCTATGTTGCGGCTTAGGCCTCTGGCCCGTGACGATGCCAATTTCTGAAACTTCGGCCCCTGAGCTGTGATATCAATATCACCAACTCCCTGGGATAGGCTGTGAAATCATATCACCAACTCCCCAGGGGCAGCTGTGATATCATTACTGTCTAGCCAAACACCGATTGATATCAGCTATGGGCCAGCCAGGTCTAAGGTCATGCATTCTTCCTTCTAGCAGTTAATTGCCTTTAAATGACCTTGTGTTGGTCTTACCTGAAAATCTTTGACATCATCACAAACATTAGTAACCTTAAGGACCTTTTTCTGGTGGCACGCAACATTACACAGCTCCTGCATATTTTTTAAGGCATTATTTTTTCTGGGCTACAGTAATAGAAACCTTGCGATGAGTACCAGCATCTTTTAGATATATTTTAATCGCGGGGGGGGGGGGGGGGGGGGGTTTATGTCCTGTTAACCTCTATATGCAGACCTAGGTTGAGGGCACATGTCACTAGTTCAAGCCGTTATCTATCTTTCTGTGACCTGTGTGAATCTTACCTGAAAGTCTTTAATGAGATCAGCTCTGATATCAACATCCCCATCAGGCCCAATACTAACAGCCTCCACGGACCAGCCGGGGTTGAGTTCATGTATCATGGCCTGCACCTCATTTCTGGACACTTGAAATGAACAAGACAAGCAATGGACACGATGGCCGCTTCCATGGAGCTCCGTGACATTCTGTGACCCTGCCTTGTAGTGTAACGCATCAACGTTCTGAGTGACCAACCAGTGGATTCGACCTTTCCTCTCCCAGTCGCTGAGAATGTAATGTGACCTGTTTGGCTGGGTCGCTGAAAATTTTGGCCACCCAACAAAATTCCTGGCCCAGTAGCGTTGCCTCACAGAAGGGTTCTTCAAAAAATCAGCATAGATAACGGGTCTGTTTGTGCTTGTTGCATACAGCCCAACCCCTTCAGATCTATAGTCGGGGATGCCACTTTCTGTCGAAATACCAGCACCAGTCAAAACAAATAATTTGTTGTGTGAGTTTATAAAATCTTGTAACTTCTGCAGTTCGTGAGTGCTCACATCTCCACAACTGGGAACAAATTTGTTATCAACAGCATATGATAATGCAGCAACACCAGTCGGACGAAAGTGTTCTGAGCCTGGACGAGCCAAGTTATGTAACAGGCTAGGACAAAGAGTTGGAAACTCTGGTAATAACTTGAGTGTCCTCTGGAACCAGCAATATTGATACATTGTTATTTCATGTGGTCAAAACCAGACAAAGACACCTGTAAAGTAAGTCAATTTTGTATAGTTAACTCTTATGTTCTCAGGTGGTTTTTAAATTAAGCAATGTCAATGATATAGTTTTTGTTTTTAAATACACACATTGTTTAGTCTCCTAAAACTTAAAAATACAACTTTGAGATAGAAGTCATAACAGTAGCAATTTAAATATAAGGGGTTAACATAACAGATGATAAATGCACTGTTTGTACCCACTTTGTGCTTTCAATGCCAGATACAGTTGGTCTTTGGAAAAACGCTGACAAAATTACAACATGTGACATGAGATGCAGCGGGAAAAACAAGAAGAGACAGTCAGCAATGAAGAACGAAGAAAAATGTTAGACACCGTATTAGTAAGTGATTTCATTGAACATTAAAGAATGAAATGGTTCAGTCATCTGGTCAGAATGGGACAAAATCAGTTTGCTGTGATAGCATACTAAATGAGAACGGCAGGCAACAGGGCAAGAGGCCGACCAAGAAAGAAATGGGTGAATGCTGAGTAAAAAAGACACTACACAAATCCGATATAACATCAACACAAACTATACAACTAGTTTAAGACAGGCAACTACGCCTAACTGCCCTCAGTCAGCGAAACTTTATGGTATCAGCAGTAGGAAAGTGACAGAATGTGTAGTGAGTGCAGGCACCTTTTTTTTTTTCTAGAGAAAAGCCTTGTGTGTGTGTAGATGTTTACATATAAAAACAGTTACATAAATAATGGCAGGATTGTTCAAATTGCGGCCTACATGCAAAATCTTGCCAGTTGTACTATACTAATTATAATTATCCGTCTATGCTGCGACTTAGGCCTCTGGCCCGTGACGATGCCAATTTCTGAAACTTCGGCCCCTGAGTAAACCTAGTTAAATAGTCAATATCCCCGCTTTATGGTAACCATTGTAATAAATTAAATAACAGTAAAGTTACATAAATACTAATGTCTAAATAGTCCATTTAAAATTTAACTTTGAGGATAGAATTATTGCCAAACTAAGGCTGAACTTGTGTCAGAAGAAAACAATAATTGACAGTGTGTTAAATGTCACCATAATCAGTCTGACCTTCTATATTTTATGACCGAAGAAGACAGAGAACAAATATCCAAATAACATTAACAAGAATTACATAACAGTGTCATCTTGTCCGTCTACTTTCTGTTTCAAGAAAAGCAAGATCGATTACTATATACTTCCAAACTATAAAAAGTTGGTCTCCCACATTACTTACCTTATATATGTGTATTATTCCTTACGTCCTTCTTAGGACGTTATTTTTTGTTATTTGAAGCCCCACTCTGGCTTTTGCCTGGGGCCGCAATATAGGCAGGTCATTATTATGGCCAAATGTCTGAACGCGGTTTCTGGGACCTCTCCACGGTGATCCTCATCTGCATGGTGGCACTTTGTGTCATCGGGTGTTTATCGCTTGTGTGATGTCCTGGTGGGGTATAAAGCCAATCCATTACTTACCTAGAAGATTCACAACACCGTGACGAGACTACGGGTTACGTTGTAATCGGGAGCTGGTGCCCAATATAAACTTACGGTCAAACGAAGTTTCTGGAATTTGTACCTGGGAGATTCTTATATGTACAGTGACGATTTGCACTTTGCGAACCCGGATTTCATCCTCTAGTATGTGATCCTAGTAGAGTTCAGCGTCACTCACTTTTTACATGTCTATGAAGCCCCCCCCCCCTTTTTCATCTTTTCTCGACTGTTGTGCTAAGATCAGCCCTCCCCCTCCCTTCAGGGTACTTCACCCCTGTACACCTCAATGTTTTCTTCGTGTCGGCGGTCTGTGTGCGTGTAAAAAAATGTTGGGGGGGGGGGGGGGGAGGCGGATTTCTAAGAAATTCAAAGTCCAAAATCGGTTGTCAGTAAGTGTTAAATACAATATGAAATGTAACTACAAAGCTCAAACATTTGCTCACAAAATGCAAGCGAAGATTTCGTTCAACGTCTTTATCAACTAAATACTAAATAGTTCACAAACTCCCCCGTGTGGGTTCCCCAAAAGCATGTCGTAAGAGTCGACTAATTGAAGTCGGAGTGCATATGCCGGAGAGGCAAGGAACCAACATTCTATATTCAAGAGAATGAGACCTGTAAAACTGATACACATGCAACCCTCAGGTTCTGGAGCAGGACTGCAGTTCAGTAGTGGACGAGCAATCAGAACTTTCCACCAGAGTGTACAGCTGGTGAACGCGAAGAAGAAGAAGAAGACTTCACAAACTGTGGAAAAATCCACGGACACGGCAACATAACTTTTAAACAACCAAGGTCAATATGAGCCCAAGAACATTCAGTTAAAAGTTCCAGTCACAGTTCGTGCTGCATTTAGTACTCCGTTGATAAAGACTGGTGAAAACGTTCGGTGGTAGTTCGTAACTTCGTCCTTCTTAGGACGAAATTTTTTGTCATTTGAAGCCCTACTCTGGCTTTTGCCGGGGGCCGCAATATAGGCAGGCCATATATGGCCAAATGTCTGAACGCGGTTTCTGGGACCTCTCCACGGCGATCCTCATCCACATGGTGGCACTCTGTGTCATCGGGTGTTTATCGCTTGTGTGATGTCCTGGTGGGGTAGAAATTCAGTTCAGTTCAGTTCGGTGGTATTTATTTCGTCTGTATGATTCCCTCCGTTGAGGTTCTGGACAGATTTCTATGTTGTATTTAACACTTGTTGTCATTAGCTGGACTGCAGTCACAGCTTTCTTCTTCTTTTTTCGTTCGCTTGGAATAAATTATCTATATCTGCAATGTTGTCTTTTGTATGAACTTCACTGTCTTTTGTCAACCTATTTACGTCATCACTTTAGCAGTTGTCAAAAAAGACTGCCCTCAACGTTCTCTAGCGTCTGATGCGCAGAATACACCATCACAGCATTTGTATTGCAGACTTGCAACTTTTCACAGGGTCGAATTTACACTTGATAAAAGTCGCAAAATCATTGATTATGTCGTAAACAGATATGCTACTTATAAATCGATTGAGAGGGAGGGGGTTATGAGGGCCTAAGTTGTAGTTTATACCTAAATCCAACCCTGACTTTAGACTTGCTTCGTGGAAAACAATATCGTCATGTTCGGCCAACAACTTGACCTTTCAGGACTTTACCGGGTACCTATTTTCATGCTGTAAATGTCTTTGGTATGATAATAAAGTTTCCATGTATTGATTTCTTCTTCTCGTTCACCTACTTAAACTTCGGCGAAAAGTCTGGTTGTCTGTCCACATCCGGACATTTTAGTCGGGTTCCGGAACGGTTAATAACCCTGGGCTGGAACCCAGATTCGAACCCTCTGTGAGGATCGTGGTTTTGTTTTTCTGTCGGGACAACATTAACATTCTAACTCGTACAGTTTGTGACGACAGCACTAGCAACACGACCCAACATCCTTAGGCTCGAAGCGCCCCTCCCCCACACAATATACAGCGAAAGGGGTACATATAGGCAGTGATGGTAGCTGTTTAACGCCGCCAGTGTGCCAAATTGCTTCCATGTCCACGCTATAAAATTCTCCTGTTTTCTTTTCTTGACGCCATGTATTCTAAGTAATATTTCTGTATTGTTCAAGTTGAAATCTCTAGTGTATATCTACTGAAGACAAAGCCTCACGATATGTGTATTCTTGTCTCCATGCTCAGTCTATTGATGGTGTCTTGCTGTGATCTATATTTCCAACGCCTTTTATTCTTTTTCCAGATCACTTTGGTTGAAAAATGAATTAAGATTCGACATTATAGAACTCGGGACACTCCCATAAACGCCCCGTCCCAATCTTCAGCAGGAAATGAAGAGTTTCAGTTACGTTGGTCCCATAACTGTCTGATTGTACCTCCGTCTCACCTTTGCCATGATAGCTGAGCGTCGGCAAGATCCCCTGGTAACTTCCCGCAGCACAATTCCCCTCTGATCGTAATGGTCTATTTGTGACTCTGCACTGTTCACTCTCTCCTAAAGGGCCCTACAACATCTAGCTTGTCATGCATCAATTCACCACCAAGTGGTGCAGAACTGGCAAGTTTGGTGTGGACCACGAGTTTAACCAAGAAGTCGGTGGAAAGATAATATCCAAGCAGACCTACAGACACTTGGAGTCACCAACTGGTACAAGATGGCAGGGAAGCAGTGACTATATTCTTGTTTTCCACTACAATCTTCTGCTTCTTCTTTGTTTACAGGCAGTCAGCTCCATCGGAAAGTCCAGGTTGTTCGTCCATCTTTTTGTGCCAGGGTCTGAGTTTTGCCTGCACTTCCGTTTTACTGGCTTATTTGTGTGTGGTTGATTGTTCCTTGCCGCTTGGGCAGATGCACTCTTACTTCAAAGGAAGCACCCAGTTAGTCGATTTCTATGACATGCTTGTCGGGAAGGCACTTGACGTCTTCTTGTTAACAAGAATCTGTTGTATCTTACTAACCGGTACCTTATGTTAGTGTCCCAGACATGTTTCAATAAAATAAAAATCTCAAGAAACATTTCTAACAGTAGTTTTGGACAACAATCATTTCTTTATTGTCTGCACTGAGAAAACTGCATTAGGTTTAAAAACAGCAACAACAACAAATATATTTTAGAAATGAAACTTTGCTTTTTTGAACAACAAATCCTAGATATTAAATAATTATAGGAGACAAATATAACCCAGTCATAACTCAGAGAGGTTGAAGAAGATGCTTATAACTTGGATTAAGATGGAACATTCAGAGTATCCCATCATCAGACAAGACTATAACAGTTATCAGAATTCAAAATGTCAACTACTATCTAAATAAAGAAAGACGGCAAGACAGACCAGGAAGACAGTCCGAGAAATGGAGGAAATGGGATATCTACAGCAATGAACCTCAAAGGCTCAGAATGCTGAAAAAGAACCAATATTAAAAGTGATCGGGGAAATCCATGTCCATAAAACTGGCTCCTCCTGTTGATTAAATATGCCTACACAACCCGCCTGTGTCCCTACAACCTGACCTATTTACACCTACAGATGAACATGACACAAACACAAAATAAGCCTGTTTATTTTATCTGTACAAATAGTCTGCTTGTAAATTGGCCGCAATCTCTGGCTCCCATTTGTCGCCGTTACACAGAAGTTTCTCCTTGTTATAGAGAAGCTCTTCCCTGCTTTCTGTCGAGTACTCAAAGTTGGGGCCCTGAAAAATAAACCCAGATAATTGCATTATTTGCCAAGACATCTTGTGATTTCACATGATGAGCTGGGATCACACATCTATTCGGGCAGCAAGGTAGAGAAAGATGCGGGAACATACAAAGGTAAAATTATGAATAAACAATGCAAGAACAAATCTTTTAAAATACTGAGAACTTGGTGGAAGTCAAAAGAAGTTAAATCTCCAGTGCGAATATTTAACGCAACTGTCTATTAGTACTGCTGTTTAAAACAGAAACACCAAACAGAACTAAAAATAAACTACAAAACATTCATTAACTGGTTCCAATGGAAAATATATTTAGTTAAAAAGCATCAGATGATTGGAAAAAAAAAGGAAAATAGTGATGTTTATTTAGCAATGCAAAAAAAGGCACACATCTCGTCAATAAACAAATAATTTTGAATTTGAAATGTGATAAAGAAGATGCGACTACACAAAAGAATACATATTTCACAGAAGAAAAAAATAGATACTAAAGACAAAAGGTATGAGAAGAGAGTTGACAGAAATAAAAATGGAAAACAAGCACAATATTTTGATCACATTAAAAGAAAATGCACTTTTACAAAAACTGTACAAGAAAGGAAAATTAATTCCATTTGAGCAAGAGGTAGACAGTGATACAAGCGGATAGATAACATCAGAAAATGAAAAACAGCAGCCCGTCAGAGTGTACAAATATGGTGAGAGGCAGAATCTTTGAGACCAGTGCTGCCAATTCTGATTTCATATTAACTTTGCTGCACAAGGTATTATCTATTAACATTACTGCACTAGGTATTATCTATTAACGTTGCCCAGCTTGCTAGTGTAGTTTGTTAAACCTGTCTTGGCGGCGACCGGGTGACGAACTCCTAGTGGTCCGGGTTCACGCCCAGGGGTTAGCTAAAAAACCCACATTTCTCCCAGATTTATGGTATCTATCATGGAATCAAGGCCAAAGGGTTGCGATATCCATGATACCGAAACTAAGGTTCAACAACTCATGGCTTCTGGATACTTTAAAAAAATATTAAGATTATTGCACCAGGTAGTATCTATTAACGTTACTGCACCTTGTACTATCTATTAACGTTACTGCACCAGGTACTATCTATTAATGTTACTGCACCAGGTATTATCTACTAACGGAATCTCTAGAAATACTGCACCTGTGAACCAAAGGATGCAGTTGTCAGAAAACAACCCTGTCGACTGCCTGGAATGTAATTATACTAGCATCACCCAGGATTACAGCGTAAACAACCAATCAGAAACACAAACCTCCACAATAGCATCCACGGGGCACGCCTCCTGGCAGAATCCACAGTAGATACATTTTGTCATGTCAATATCGTAACGTGTCGTCCTGCGGCTGCCGTCTGCTCGTGGTTCTGCTTCAATAGTTATAGCCTACAAAATAAAATGTGGAGGTATGATTTTTTTCTGCCAAAGATACAATGGCTGCAAATGCAAGCATTTTGCTGGGCTGGTGTTGGCACTGTTCCGTCTTTCCAGACAATAGTGTAATACTGTATTATAAAGAAGCATGCAGAATCACCAACAATGGCCATGGCCAGAATAACTAGCAAGATCTGCCATGAGCTGTCATTCCCAAGCCTCCCTTCCTAAAGCAACATAATAACACTACTGTCTGAAAAAAATGGACAGCTACTAACAATTACTTGATAGTTCGTCGACAGATTACTGTCACTGCACATCATCGGACTAGTCAGTAAGGGGTCGGATAACATCTGCAGTATATCCCTCAGCATGTGGAGACTGATAACACCAGTTCTGTGCTGGTTTACTATTCTTCTTTGGCTACCAGCACAGTGTTCATGTTTGGCAACACCTTTTTTGACCTGAAGTTCTTGAAGTCTTTTGAGTGTTGCCAATTCAACATCGACTCATGAATCAGCTTCTCATCCTGCCTCCCTTGAGAGCATTGACAATTCACTTGGCAGTGAATGGGTTAATCCCAAAGACAGATAGCCCTGACACGTCTGCTGAAATTCTCTCTCATTTCAGAGTCACCAAACAGCAAACTAAGTTACAAGCCATACAGAGTGCAACAGTAATATGTTTCACCTCCTATTGCCGCCTTTATCAACTCCTTCTGATGTTCATCCCAGCACAGAGTACAGGCCCTCAATCAATTCTGCCACCTCCTGCAGCTCGCTCTACGTCGATACCATCTTATTCATCAGTCTCATATAGTCTTCCATTTTTTCAGTCTAACAAAATTCACTCAATACCAACATCATTTTGACAGAAGCAAGCCCTTTACGAATTCAGACACCCTGAAACTCGATGCAGACGGCTTACAACAAAATAAAATAGGTACATTAAGCATATGATGAGACACATATAGATGAACTGGCACTCACCTGGTGGGTGGTTAGCACCACACCAGCCACCTTTGCTTCCCATTACCTGGTACCCCTGATAGGCTGCACAAACCTGGGAGCTGCACCCGCCTTAGAGAACTACAATGGTCTTTGTTTTGAGTTTATGTTCACCCCGTTCCAACCAAGAAACCAAGACCGCAATCTGCACATGAACTTTGCACACACAAATCAGATACCTGAGCTGGACAAATGGCCTCACACAGCTTGCAAGCAATGCACCTCTCTTCTCCAGAAGGGTAGCGGCGTAGAGCATGCTCTCCACGAAAACGGGGACTCAGAGGCCCCTTCTCAAACGGATAGTTGATTGTGGCTGGCTCTTTTAGCATCATCCCCAGGCCAATACCAAAACCTGAAATTTATAAAGAAATCATGCATCTGACGATTGTCTGTGAACAGTGTCCTTGCACGTAGCTCTGGATAAGTCAGACACCAGATTTTACTGCAAGACAGTTAGCTCCACTTATGGCTAGGTTTTCATCCCCAACAATTTTGCCAACGCTCAACCTCATGATCTAAACAATTTGCAATGTTCCAAATGCCAGTGATTTATAAATCATGAGAAAAGTGCACCCAGAACCTCTTGTTTTGTCTGTGTGTGTGCGTGTGAGTGCATTATCATCCAAAAACTAGATATCCAGCAAATTATTTAAGAGGTCAGAAGACACAAGATTTTATTTTAGACAAATTCACAGCCAAATGTGATGTTCACATGAGTGCACAAGCAGAGGGAGCTGCCGTGGTAGCGGCTAGATGGTCACCTGCAGATCTAAAGGTTGTAGGTTTGAATCCAAACCTTTTAAAAAAATTACACTGACTCTCAGGTCAACCCATAAGTGGGTACCATGCAGAGTCCGAGGAAGGGAAGGTGGCCGGCATGATGTTGACCACCTCAGCCATCGAGACCAGACAAAACAAAATATAGGTCTAGCCCTATATGCCCAATTTGCCTCAAGGTAAGAAAAATGGTCCAATTAACAGAAATATGAAATAATATAAATCACCAGACCTTTGAACATGTCATTCCAAAAGACAGTCGTAGCAGAATTGTCCATGATAGGTGTCCACTTAATGGATTCCTCTTTTCTCCCGACATTCTCTAGAAAGGGATACCAATGTAAGAATAATTAGCATTCAACCATTCTGCATAATTAAACTCTCAACTAGACAATAAATGAACAGCATTGGTTTAAAACAGTATCTTCTTGTTCTTGGTCGTCTTCTGCAAGCACAAGTTGTTAACTCCATCAGAACGACACAGGCTCTGGTCCTCTCCCAGCATTGCATGCACATCCATTTGACAGATCTGGTAAATCTGTGTGCAGACTGTTGGCAGATCTGGTAAATCCGTGTGTAGACTGTTGACAGATTTGGTAAATCCGTGTGTAGACTGTTGACAGATCTGGTAAATCTGTGTGCAGACTGTTGACAGATTTGGTAAATCTGTGTGCAGACTGTTGACAGATCTGGTAAATTTGTGTGCAGACTGTTGGCAGATCTCAAGATTTCTCAGGAGAATGCACTCTTAATTGGAAGAAAACATTGGTCCTAACTACATTTTTTTTTGGTTGATCTTGTTGGGTACATAAGGATACCAGATAACCATGTGTGTTGTAATGCTTGAGATATTATTTATATAAAAACAAAACAAATATGTTTTATTTGAATACAACAAGAAAACAAGAAACTTACTGAAATGTGTTCTTTGCTGACTTGCACAGAGGAAAGGGCGTGAGCCACAAACAAGAAAACTCTGAACTAAAAAAAAAATAAAAATTTTTTTTTTACCAATAGTAATATCACTGAGAATTTAACTGGTTAAACAAAAATGTAGGTAATGCAGATCACATGCAATAAGCCCTCATTTTCATCATGTCACTCTCGTCAAGGTCTGCCTGAAAGAAACTCAGTCTCTCGCAAGCTCTACCGCCTTGTGTACTTTCATATTCAAGGAGTCACTTATATCATGTGCCCATCTTCATGTTGGTCGGCCCTTGTCCTTCCTTGCTGCGCCAGCTCGACCCCCTTGTGTACTTTCATAAAACAGAGGTGCATGTAAAACTCAAATACTGGATCAAGAAAATTAAGAGTGGACGAACAACTGGAATTTTCCACTAGTTTAAAGCTGTGTATGCTAAGAAAAAGAGTTAGATGATGTGTCTGACTGTTGCAGATTTTAATATGACATCGTGAATGATAATGAACAGAATCTCTGAATCTCCAATACAACTGTCTAAATCTACTCTACTCATTTACTTTTACATCTGCTGTGTGAGATAACTGTCTTGAATTAGATATTTTAGGGTTCTCCTTTAAACTACGGCCGGTTAGTCAGAGTTCAATCCCCTGGCCACAGTGCAATTACGGAGTGGAGAAGACATGAATCACAAAACAAAGTGACGACAAAAATTATCAGATATAGTGGCCGTCATTATGGGTAAGTACTCAACGTTACATGTGTTGTTACCCTAACCCTACCCCAAACCCTAGCCATATGATGACATCAGGGCACTGCACGCTGTCTATCGCCAACACACAGTAATTATGCCATTTGTTTCGTTCCCTCTTTTCCACTCAGTAATTGCACTGCAGCCAAGGGACTGAACTCCGACTAACCGGCCGTAGTTTCAAGGAGAGCCGATATTTTACTGAAGTTGGTGGTGCTGCTTTTATTATTTTGTCACCCAGCTGTTCAAGCTTCCAATGAGATATATATCTCTCTCTTTTGCCAAATATTTCACTTACATAAATCTTAGAAGTTTAAAGAACACAGCAGAATATTTTCGCTACCGTTTTCTTAATGTTTCTCAGTTTTTCTGCATGAACTGAATGGATGTGTTGAGATTCATTATTAAGAAAGTTTAGAAAGCTCTCTCTCTCAACTAACTGTTCTATAAATAACATGAAGTAGCAGTCTCTTTGTAACTCTGAGCTTTTAAGCCCAAATAACCAATTTTTATCTTGACAATGCATCCACGAAATGCGCAGAAAGACGGGGAAGAAAACCAACAAGAACATGCAACACTTACAGCTGGAGCCTGCACTGAATATTTTCACAGTCGCCATGTTGACATTCATTTGCTCCGGAAGTGATCTCTCAGCAGACAAAAGTAGTCGCTAAAGATGAACTCTTCTAAACGGAAGTTCAAGGCAACTGCCAGTTAGCGGGTTGGGCGAGAAACTAGCAAAGAAGCGGTGGCGCTACAATTCTGTGTTTTGGAGGCACACTTACAAAACACTACAGACACGCACACTCACATATAATTTATATATATGTATGTATGTGTGTGTATAAGTTAAAAGTTAGTTGCGTATCCTTACAGGACGTTGCAGAACCAACCCTAACAGCCCCTGACTGTTGTGTGGTTTCTCTAGGCAATATACGTCCAGTAGTTTGCCATTGCTGCTGGACGGTCGGCTTTCTTGATACCACTGTCGAAACCAACGCAAGGCGCAGTGCCCGCAGCTGGGATCGAACCTGGCATAACGAAGCGAAGCGTTCGCATCGACTTAGCCACAGAGCCGACATGTGTGTGTGTATATATAAATAAATTTAATATTGTCTGTTCAAAAGCACAGTGAAGATTAAAATCTGTTCTTGAATTTAAAGAAAACTAAAGTAATGCCCACAGATAAAACTGGAATATAAAGAAAACAAAAGTAATACCCACAGATAAAACTGGCTGTCACCCACAAATAACAATAAATGATGAAGAAGTTGAAAATGTCACAAACTGAATATCTAGGCTCTATAATAAACAGCAATGGAGACTGTTCAACAGAAATTAAAAGGAGGATGACCATAGCAATGCAAAGATTGAACAGCCTTAAAAATCTATGGTTAAGCAAAAGCAAGGAGATGAAAATTAGAATTTTGAGAGCATGCATCTTCCCTGTGGCAACATACGGATGTGAGTTGTGGACTATCTCTCAGTCCTTAAGAAAGAGAATAGGGGCTTTTAGGCTGAAATGCTATAGAAAGATTCTCAGAATATCTTGGACAAAGAAGCGCAGAAATACTGACATCTTAAAAGATCTGAACATCACGGAAGATTGGCTAATAAACAGGATCCTTTCTGGGAAGCTGAAATATTTTGGTCATATCATGCGCCACGACAGATTGGGAAAAAATATAGCAGAAGGCATGGTACCAGGAAGGAGGGGCAGGGGCCGACCGACACGAAGATGTGCACATAATATAAGTGAATCCTTGAGTATGAAACTACATGAGGCGGGAGAGCTGCCGAGATTACGATTTTCTTTAAAGCAGACTGTGATGAGAGCAACGTTCTGCAAAGGACCTGCTACATGATACACACACACACACACACACATATATATATATAATGTAATTTTTCAGGGTAGACTGAACACAATGCTTTATTTTTGCCAGTGCTACTGATATTGCAGGTCTTTTCACAAACATGACTCAAGACAAGGTGCTCTGCACATTTTGTCCGATAGGCAATCAGGATAAAATGTCAATTAACTCACAAAACCAACCAACCAACCAACCAACCAACCAACCAACCAACCAACCAACCAACCAACCAACCAACCAACCAACCAACCAACCAATGAACTGACCAATTAACTAACTAAATCAACTAACTAAACTAACTAACTAAACTAACTAACTTAATTTAATTTAACTTAACTTAAATTAACTCAACTCAACTCACCTCACCTCACCTCAACTCAACTCAAACTTAACTCAGCTCAGCTCCAACTCAACTTCAACTAAACTAACCTAGTCTAGCCTAACCTCATCTAACCTAACCCACAGCCTTCTCTATTTATATAGAAATAGCTCAAGATGGGCGGGCCTTACCTAACCTAACCTAACCTAACCTAACAAAACTAACTAAATAGCTAACTAACTAACTGAACTAAACTAACTGACTGACTGAATTGACTAATCAACGAATAGGCGTTTCTCATTGACACTCATATAGAAAGAAGCAGACAGGTGTAATGGAAAAGGTTGGGGGTACATAGTGGTTGTTCCAAGTTGACTTGTTCGTGCCACATTTCCTTTTCTATGCGCAAATGAACAAAGAACCAGCTTCGGTAAGTTGCTTGTTTTCTTGTTGCATTGAAAAAAAAAAAAAAAAAAAAACAACCCCCGATTTGTTGTGTTTTCATTATTTCTACCTTTTCTTCTTTTTATACTCCCCGCCGTGTGGTGGTGGTAGTCATGTCAATACACAATCCTCTGTATCGTGCACTTTCGGTAAATTCTGACACAGATGATCCTTCATGTCAGGATTTCAAACTGTCCATTATCTTTTCTCTCGGTCTGTCCCTGCATCTACTCCCTTCTACCGTTCACACACAGTTACAATGTAATTCAGTTGTTTCTTGTCCTGACGTGACCAAAGAAGGTAGATTATCTTCCCCTTCTCTTTGTAAGTCAGTTTCTTTCAAGACATCTTCGTTACTCTTTTTATCGGTCCATCCTTTTCGCATCATTTGTCAGTAAATATATTTACATCTCAAATGTACACAAAAATGGCATATGATGTAAAATAGGCCGGCGTGCCATTAACTACATTACCCACCAAAGTAATGATTTTCATACCTTATCAAACTATGTGACAGTCTCCTAGAAGGAGGAGTTAGAGAGGAGGAGAAGAAGAAGAAGAAGGGTAAGGAGGAAGATTATGAAGAGGAGGAGGATGTGGCCAAATGTGTAGCCGGTATTAAAGGTGGTACTGAAAGCGTGAACCCAACAGTTGTGCATATCAACGTGCGTCAGAAGGTAATATAACTGACCTCTCTATGCCACTGACTGGTTATTAGAGCAAATTAGACAGCAAAGCTGCCAGGTTATTAGCAAGTAGGGCCCGGACTTGATGCTTCGGTAAGACTTGTCACTTGTAACTAGTGGTCCGTACCGACACCCTATCACATCGGTCCCACCTATTCGTGAACTGATTCTGTGCCTAAGGTACCCAATAGGAGTAACTATGAGTCGTCCCCTTGTGGGATGCAATTTTTATTTTATTTAAAGCCCAACCCTGGTTTCTGCCTGGGCCCTGAATATAGGCGGGCCATAAAAATGGCCTAGCCATAGATATGGCCTGACGGTTGAAAGCGGTTTCTGGGACCTCTCTACGGGTGATCCTCATCCGCATGGTGGCACTTTGTGTCATCGGGTGTTTATCGCTTGTGTGATGTCCTGGAGGGGTACAACTACCTACCTACCCAACAAAAATTGACTGGCATATCTCTTTTCTTTGCCCCGCAACCGGTTTCTGCAAGCCGTTACCCATTGGCAACATACGGGTCAGCGTCTCTGACCTCCTTCTGTCAGCGTCTCTGACCTCTCAGCGTCTCTAACCTCCTTCTCTCAGCGTCTCTGACCTCCTTCTCTCAGCGTCTCTGACCCCTTCTCTCAGCGTCTCTGACCTCCTTCTTTCAGTGTCTCTAGAACGCAGCACATTTAGCATGTCTGCCACGTCCAGCATCATCCTCCAACAGCCATGTCAAGTTTGTCGGCTCTTTTATTTCTTTTCACTCTACTGTCTACAGCCACGACCGGCTCTAGCTGACGGGTTGTGCTGCTGACGTCACCGGGTCGGGCTTACGATGCGTTAACGCAACGGTTCTCGAACTATGTGGCGCAGTGCCCTGGGGTGCCGTGAGCGTATGCCATGGGTGCCGAGGCAATAATCAAGAAAAGTCAGCTATAAATTATAAAATTATTAAAGAAATCATGTAGATACTTGAAAGTCAAAATTTAAGTTTCCTGCCCTCGCCACTGTCGAAAATGGTTTATTTCTTGTTTGAGAACCGCTTCGTTAACACATGGTTAGCCTGACCCGGTGACGTCAGCAACACGACCCATCAGCTTTGCAACCTTTAGAGAATCCCCTGTTAACCAGGAAACACACGAAAAAGCCTTGACTTCGGAGAGACTTCAACTGGCAGTGACTGGAACGTTTAAGGACTTGTCAGATGTCAAGCATGAGATAAGAGTATCACAGAAATGGGGAAACAATAAACACACCCTTCATTGACAGAATAGTTGATCCACAAACAACGTCATGTGTTGGAAAATGAAATACCAGGGAATTATTGTTTAAGTAATTCAGAAAGGACAATATGGCAAGTTATATTCGACTGGAAGAAGACACATAGGTCGACCAGCACGAAGGGGAACAAGGGATATCTAAGAGTTAGATCTACTGCACTTTGTGTCACCGGGTGTTGGTTGCTCGTTGTCCAGCCCTGGTGGTATTGAACGACATAATAAACCTTCCCGAATAAGGGGCGTAATTGTTTTTTTTTTAAAGCCCTATCCTAGCTGTAGTTAGGGGTCCTAATATAACCTAGCGGTTGAAGGGGGTTTCTGGGACGTGCACCCGGGTGATTGTCATATGAATAGTGGCATTTTGTGTCACCGAGTGTATATAATTCGTTGTGCGGTCCTGGTGGCGTTGAACGTCACTTTCCACAAGTCTTGATTGCAACGACTTCCTGCAGCGGACCTGCTACATGATGATGGTGCCCACATTCTGATCTTGGTAATTCTGTAGTCTTACCAGATAGTTATAATCATCAGGATTCTTTCACAGCAACACAAACAATGCAATCATCCAGTTTATTGATCGTCCTAACGTACAAAATATAAGCATATATTTGAACTATTTGACAGTAAACATATCATTTTTAACATGCTAAAGCCCCTCAGCATTGAGTTACAATGCATTCCCTCTCTCCCCTTTATACTTTCCCTCTATCTGCTTTCGTTCTTCCCGCCCTCTCCCACAAAGATAAATCAACAGTCTCAACTGTCAAACATGTCATCATGGTTCTGTGCTGAAAGAGATGGTCATCCAAGCCACAAGAGCTCATGGGGTCGACACCTGCAACCGACCTGCCACATGATGATGGTATCCAAATAATAATCATCCTATGTCCATAGTACACAAGATAGTTATAATTAGGGCTGTACCGCATATTCGCTTCGTATTCGCTTCGGGACCGAATAGTGGACCTATTAACTATTCGGTATTCGGCCGAATAGTTGCGATCGGACCGAATACGAATAGTGGTCACCTTACTCCCGTTTCTGCATACACTGTGATGGACAGAAATAATTCTCTCATTAACACAATAGTTGCTGTTGCCTAAGTCTGTCGTAGCGGTGGAAACTGCAACTTGGTTGCTTGGTACAAACTGCATAAAATGCCAACAGCAGTGTGTATTTGTGTGTGTGTGTGTGTGTGTGTGTGTGTGTGTGAGAGAGAGATATCATGCATTTTTCGTTCTTTCAGGGTGTCTTCGCCCAAATCAAATTTGAAGATATTGCTAACGAGAATATAAAGGTGCGTTTAAAATACATCGAACGAACGGCCGAGCGAACGATGGTTTTGGAAGAGGCGGGAGCCCGAAGACAACTAATCACAGACATCAGAAGGAGACAGTCGTCATTTTTTAGCCATGTTATGAGAAGAGGGAAAATGGAACATGTGGTGACCACTGGAAAGATCTGTGGAAGGAGGGATAGAGGAAGACAACGAGAGAAGATTCTTGTCAGTCTTGTTGCATGGCATGGAGGTGTGTCAGCACTAATACATGTAGCAGGAGATCGCAGATTGTGGAGAGGCATGATCGCCCAGTCGGCAAGGCACCTGATGATGATGATACACTATTCGTATTCGTATTCGGCCGAATAGTTGGTCCCACTATTCGTATTCGGCCGAATAGTGAAAATCACTATTCGGTACAGCCCTAGTTATAATTGGCAGTATTCTTTCACAGCAACAAACACAATTTAGTCATCAAATTTATTGAACGTCTCAGTGTACAAAATATAAGCATATTTTTTTCCCTTCAGTAAACGTATCATTATTAACATGCTAAAAACATCAAAATACGATCATTAATCTCTTTCTCCTTCTCCCTCTTTTTAAAAAAAATATCTCTTTCACCTTTCTCTCACTCACCTCTTCCTTAAACAGATACAATCAACAGTCTTGATTGTCAACATGCTATCATCATCATGTGCTGAAGTTTGAAGTGACTCTCCTCACATCCGGTGATGATAGTAGCTAGTCAGAACCCAGTGTGTCCATTCAATCTGAGAAGCTTAAAACGAGCTAGAGGTCAATGTGTGGCTGGAACACTGGACCAGATCAGGACTAGCGGTCAATGTGTGGCTGGAACACTGGACTAGACCAGGACTAGCGGTCAATGTGTGGCTGGAATACCGGACCAGGTCAGGACTAGCGGTCAGTGTGTGGCTGGAACACCGGACCAGGTCAGGACTAGCGGTCAAAGTATGGTTGGAACACCGAACCAGGTCAGGGCTAACGGTCAATGTGTGGCTGGAATACCGGCGTAGACAGGTAAGGGTTAATCTCTAGTTCATCAAGCCCTGCAAAGAGGACAACTCGATTAAACGGGTTTGGACAGCAGCAGCAAAAACTGTCATTCAAAAATGAATCGACCACTTTTGCGATGTAGGCGGGGAGGGGGGGGGGGTATCGTTGAGTCAGAGGATTCTGGGCCGCCTGGATGGGTCTATCGCCACGGACTGTGCAGGTTAAGATTTAAAAAAAAAATGCAACCTTGCTGAGAATTTGAGCTCGGGTGTCCTGAATGACAGTACTGTGTTCTTAACCGTTCGGCCAATAGCAACAACAATACGAAAGACAACCACAACAACAACAACAGAAAAGACAACCACAACAACATATTCCCAGACGATTATCACACTAAACCGTCGAAATACTGAATACTGACAGAAAGAAACCAGATTTAACAAAGGAATTTATATTGATTTACCTACAATTTTCGAGACTCGGTCAAACGGACTGCTTTAAAATGGTAACTCTCTATTCCGGCAGCTGAAATTATGAAATCAAACCAGCAGAAAAGCTTTTCCAACTGTTAGTAGATCTTGGGCATGGAGACCCTGGCTTTTAGTACAGCTCTGGCACTGTGTTACACTTGGGGTGGAAAAGGGGGGGGGGGGGGGTGGAGGGTTTGGGGGATAGGGGTAGACCCACTGCCCCTGAACTGAACCAGAACTACATCAACCAGTCATCAATCAGCAGTTTCTTTACAGAACGTCGCTCTTTTACGGCATGCCTGAATGTCTCTCTTTCACCAGCCAGTTCTGCAGATCTATAGGCTTTCATAGGGAATGCACCTTTAATTGTCCTTCATTACCCGTGTGAGTTCCGGGGCCCTAATTATAGGGAAAACAAGAACAGACCCACTGTCTACCCAAAAGCATGTCGTAAGAGTCGACTAATTGGGAGCTTCCTTCGAAGTCGGAATGCATCTGCCTGAGAGGCAAGGAACCAGCAGTCTGCATACAAATGAGTCAGATCTGTAAAATGGATGCACACGCAACACTCAAGTTCTGGAACTGGACTGCAGTCCAGAAATGGACGAGCAACCAGAACTTTCCGCCGGAGTTTACAGCTGGTGAACGCGAAAAAGAAGAAGAAAAAGAAGAAGAAGAAGAAGAAGAAGAAGAAGAAGAAGAAGAAGAAGAAGAAGAAGAAAAAGAAGAAGAAAAAGAAGAAGAAGAAGAAAAAGAAAAAGAAAAAAAAATTGTCCTTCATCCACATTTATAGAGGTCGGTGTCTGCCTTGTTTCCGGAAAACAAAAATACATATGTTTAAAAAAAAAAATACACACATATTGACAGCACACACGGACACTTAACATGTTCACACACGCAAAAGTTTACTTTGACAATTTCTCTCTCTCTCTCTCTCTCTCTCTCTCTCTCTCTCTCTCTCTCTCTCTTTCTCTTTCTCTCTCTCTCGCGCGCTCTCTCTCTCTCTCTCTCTCTCTCTCTCTCTATATATATATATATATATATATATATATATATATATATATATATAATATATATATATATATATATATATATATATATATATATATATATATATATATATATATATATATATATATATATATATATATATATATAAAATCCTTATTGCACACCGGACAAGTCCGAAGGTATTCGAATCCCATCTACAGTATCTCCGTCAGCGAGTGGCGACTGAAATCACCAGTTCTGTGTTGACACTTTGTACATTCAAGGGGAACAACCAACAATATTAAAAAAGGTTTTGTTATCACAATCGACGTCTTTGCACGTACATGCTCAGTCCTCAGATACAGCAGACACTCCAAGGAACCTCCACTGACTGTTCCCATGAGGAGTTGGTTATAGTATCTCCTGTCTTTACCTCAAAGACGGCATAGTCGTGCTCAACACAGCTTATCTGATCGGTCACGCAATCGGGTTATCGTCACAGATTCGCCATTATCCCACAACCTAGTTCGTACAACCTAGTTCTGTCCATGCTTCTTCTCGTTTGCATCGGTACATTACCTGCCCACTGGTCAACTTTTTCATTACGAACTCCCTGTTGAATGTTGAAGTGATAATCTTCTATTAAAACCCCATTAGGTTTGCAGATTCTGGAGCCTTATCTCAGATAAAAGATAGTTAACACCCCCCCCCCCCCCATCCTCAAAATGCACAATCGATAAAGCAATATACAAATGCCATCCTTTCTCGCACAGGACTGCAGACTTCATCCAACTGGTATAGGCGTTACGTGACCTAGTTATAACTTCTTTGGAAATGCCCTGTTAGTCTGCCACCCAGGATAGGACTATTGAAGTCTTAAGAGTGTTCAAACCTTCAAGTAGCAGCCTGGAGAGGAAAATAGATATGAACAGAGACTCATAATGCAACAATATCTCCGATATGCTGACTCTGTAGCTGCATCTTCATCTCGATGACGCTGTACAAGGCCAAGGACACAGCCAGACTTCCCGCCAAGATAAACACTTTCGTCTGCACACACAGGAAGTAGCTGTAGCCGAACGCCATTGCGCAGCCGCCGGCATGGAACATCCGGTAGGAAGCAAAGGCGGCCTCTTGCTTGTGGCTGAAGAGCACTCCAAACAGAGCTGTACAAAAGAAAGGAAGAGAGTTAATGAATATTGAACACTAACATAAACATGCAGAAGACTGGCCTGCCTTTATTGTCTCTATTTACTAGTTTTTTTCTTTCTTCAAAATGGCCTTGGCTCCTAGGTCGACCCAACCGATTTGTCTATAAAACATAATATGTTTAGCACCACATACCCAATACACCTGATGCGGTGTCTATTGTGGGTGGTCAGCCTGGGATTGAAGGCTGCATGGCCACGGACGCTGCAGGTTCAGATTTGCCCGCCACAGGAAAGACACCTACATTTCCTGAGGATCGAACACAGATTCCCCGCATGAGTTCCCGACGCTCTCCCTGCGCTAGCCAGACTATCTCTGACAGGACATCGGTTTGCGTTAAAGCGCAGAAATACTTTTCCAGCCAGTACAGATCTTGAGTCCATTAACCATCATCATCACCATGTGTGCCGCCAGGCGGCTCAGACGCCCATGTCTATCCATAAATCTCCGTCCTGGTTATTTTCAGTCGATTCCACTAATGATATTCCACCATGCCATCGCTTTAGGACATCAAACATTGTTTCTCTTGGTCTTCTTCCGCCTTTTCTACCTTTATTTGTTTTTCCAGCCATCACAGTATTCTCAGCGCCTCTCTTCTCACCACATGACCAAAGAACACTGCCGGTCTCTCTCTGATAGTTGAACACTCGCAGTTTCATAGGTTCATGAGCTTTTCCAAGCTGTCAATACTAGTGACACTGGTCAGTGCTGGTCACTCTGGTCAGTGCTAGTCACTCTGGTCAATGTTAGTCACTCTGGTCAGTGCTAGTCACTCTGGTCAATGCCAGAAACTCTGGTCAATGCTAGTCACTCTGGTCAATGCTAGTCACTCTGGTCAGTGCTAGTCACTCTGGTCAGTGCTAGTCACTCTGGTCAATGCTAGTCACTCTAGTCAATGCCAGTCACTCTAGTCAATGCTAGTCACTCTGGTCAATGTTAGTCACTCTGGTCAATGTTAGTCACTCTGGTCAATGCTAGTCACTCTGGTCAATGTTAGTCACTCTGGTCAATGCCAGACACTCTGGTAAATGTTAGTCACTCTGGTCAATGCTAGTCACTCTGGTCAGTGCTAGTCACTTTGGTCAATGCTAGTCACTCTGGTCAGTGCTAGTCACTCTGGTCAGTGCTAGTCACTCTGGTCAGTACTAGTCACTCTGGTCAGTGCTAGTCACTCTCGTCAATGGCAGTCACTCTGGTCAATGCTAGTCACTCTGGTCAATGCTAGTCACTCTGGTCAATGCTAGTCACTCTCGTCAATGTCAGTCACTCTGGTCAGTGTTAGTTACTCTGGTCAATGCTAGTCACTCTCGTCAATGTAAGTCACTCTGGTCAATACTAGTCACTCTGGTCAGTGCTAGTCACTCTGGTCAATGCTAGTCACTCTGGTCAGTGCTAGTCACTCTGGTCAATGCTAGTCACTCTGGTCAATGCTAGTCACTCTGGTCAATGTCAGACACTCTGGTCAATGCTAGTCACTCTGGTCAATGCTAGTCACTCTGTTGAATACTAGTCACTCTGGTCAGTGCTAGTCACTCTAGTCAATGCTAGCGACTCTGGTCAATGCTAGTCACTCTAGTCAATGCTAGTGACTCTGGCCAATGCCAGTCACTCTAGTCAATGCTAGTGACTCTGGTCAATGCTAGTCACTCTAGTCAGTGCTAGTCACTCTAGTCAATGCTAGTCACTCTGGTCAGTGCTAGTCACTTTGGTCAGTGCTAGTCACTCTAGTCAGTGCTAATCACTCTAGTCAGTGCTAGTCACTCTGGTCAGTGCTAGTCCCTCTGGTCAGTGCTAGTCACTCTGGTCAGTGCTAGTCACTCTGGTCAGTGCTAGTCACTCTAGTCAATGCTAGTCACTCTGGTCAGTGCTAGTCACTCTGGTCAATGCTAGTCACTCTGGTCAGTGCTAGTCACTCTGGTCAATGCTAGTCACTCTGGTCAATGCTAGTCACTCTGGTCAGTGCTAGTCACTCTGGTCAATGCTAGTCACTCTGGTCAATGCTAGTCACTCTGGTCAGTGCTAGTCACTCTGGTCAATGCTAGTCACTCTGGTCAGTGCTAGTCACTGTGGTCAATGCTAGTCACTCTGGTCAGTGCCAGTCACTCTAGTCAATGCTAGTCACTCTGGTCAATGTTAGTCACTCTGGTCAATGTTAGTCACTCTGGTCAATGCTAGTCACTCTGGTCAATGTTAGTCACTCTGGTCAATGCTAGTCACTCTGGTCAATGCTAGTCACTCTGGTCAATGTTAGTCACTCTGGTCAATGCCAGACACTCTGGTAAATGTTAGTCACTCTGGTCAATGCTAGTCACTCTGGTCAGTGCTAGTCACTCTGGTCAATGCTAGTCACTCTGGTCAGTGCTAGTCACTCTGGTCAGTGCTAGTCACTCTGGTCAGTACTAGTCACTCTGGTCAGTGCTAGTCACTCTCGTCAATGGCAGTCACTCTGGTCAATGCTAGTCACTCTGGTCAATGCTAGTCACTCTGGTCAATGCTAGTCACTCTCGTCAATGTCAGTCACTCTGGTCAGTGTTAGTTACTCTGGTCAATGCTAGTCACTCTCGTCAATGTAAGTCACTCTGGTCAATACTAGTCACTCTGGTCAGTGCTAGTCACTCTGGTCAATGCTAGTCACTCTGGTCAGTGCTAGTCACTCTGGTCAATGCTAGTCACTCTGGTCAATGCTAGTCACTCTGGTCAATGTCAGACACTCTGGTCAATGCTAGTCACTCTGGTCAATGCTAGTCACTCTGTTGAATACTAGTCATTCTGGTCAGTGCTAGTCACTCTGGTCAATGCTAGTCACTCTGGTCAATGCTAGTCACTCTGGTCAATGCTAGTCACTCTGGTCAATGCTAGTCACTCTAGTCAATGCTAGTCACTCTAGTCAGTGCTAGGCACTCTAGTCAATGCTAGCGACTCTGGTCAATGCTAGTCACTCTGGTCAATGCTAGTGACTCTGGTCAATACTAGTCACTCTGGTCAGTGCTAGTCACTCTAGTCAGTGCTAGTCACTCTAGTCAGTGCTAGTCACTCTAGTCAGTGCTAGTAACTCTAGTCAGTGCTAGTCACTCTAGTCAGTGCTAGTCACTCTGGTCAGTGCTAGTCACTCTGGTCAATGCTAGTCACTCTGGTCAGTGCTAGTCACTCTGGTCAATGCTAGTCACTCTGGTCAATGCTAGTCACTCTGGTCAATGTCAGACACTCTGGTCAATGCTAGTCACTCTGGTCAATGCTAGTCACTCTGTTGAATACTAGTCACTCTGGTCAGTGCTAGTCACTCTAGTCAATGCTAGTCACTCTGGTCAATGCTAGTCACTCTGGTCAATGCTAGTCACTCTAGTCAATGCTAGTCACTCTAGTCAATGCTAGTCACTCTAGTCAGTGCTAGTCACTCTAGTCAATGCTAGCGACTCTGGTCAATGCTAGTCACTCAGGTCAATGCTAGTCACTCTGGTCAATGCTAGTCACTCTGGTCAATGCTAGTCACTCTGGTCAATGCTAGTCACTCTGGTCAATGCTAGTCACTCTGGTCAATGCTAGTCACTCTAGTCAATGCTAGTCACTCTAGTCAGTGCTAGGCACTCTAGTCAATGCTAGCGACTCTGGTCAATGCTAGTCACTCTGGTCAATGCTAGTGACTCTGGTCAATACTAGTCACTCTGGTCAGTGCTAGTAACTCTAGTCAGTGCTAGTCACTCTAGTCAGTGCTAGTCACTCTAGTCAGTGCTAGTAACTCTAGTCAGTGCTAGTCACTCTAGTCAGTGCTAGGCACTCTAGTCAGTGCTAGTCACTCTAGTCAGTGCTAGTCACTCTAGCCAGTGCTAGTCACTCTAGTCAGTGCTAGTCACTCTGGTCAGTGCTAGTCACTCTAGTCAGTGCTAGTCACTCTAGTCAGTGCTAGTCACTCTGGTCAGTGCTAGTCACTCTAGTCAGTGCTAGTGACTCTGGTCAGTGCTAGTCACTCTGGTCAGTGCTAGTCACTCTAGTCAGTGCTAGGCACTCTAGTCAGTGCTAGTCACTCTAGTCAGTGCTAGTCACTCTGGTCAGTGCTAGTCACTTTGGTCAGTGCTAGTCACTCTAGTCAGTGCTAATCACTCTAGTCAGTGCTAGTCACTCTGGTCAGTGCTAGTCACTCTAGTCAGTGCTAGTCACTCTGGTCAGTGCTAGTCACTCTGGTCAGTGCTAGTCACTCTAGTCAGTGCTAATCACTCTAGTCATTGCTAGTCACTCTAGTCAGTGCTAGTCACTCTAGTCAGTGCTAGTCACTCTGGTCAGTGCTAGTCACTCTAGTCAGTGCTAGTCACTCTAGTCAGTGCTAGTCACTCTGGTCAGTGCTAGTCACTTTGGTCAGTGCTAGTCACTCTAGTCAGTGCTAATCACTCTGGTCAGTGCTAGTCACTTTAGTCAGTGCTAGTCACTCTAGTCAGTGCTAGTCACTCTGGTCAGTGCTAGTCACTTTGGTCAGTGCTAGTCACTCTAGTCAGTGCTAATCACTCTGGTCAGTGCTAGTCACTTTGGTCAGTGCTAGTCACTCTAGTCAGTGCTAATCACTCTGGTCAGTGCTTGTCACTTTGGTCAGTGCTAGTCACTTTGGTCAGTGCAAGTCACTCTGGTCAGTGCTAGTCAGTTTGGTCAGTGCTAGTCACTTTGGTCAATGCAAGTCACTCTGGTCAGTGCTAGTCAGTTTGGTCAGTGCTAGTCACTTTGGTCAGTGCTAGTCACTCTGGTCAGTGCTAATCACTCTGGTCAGTGCTAGTCACTTTGGTCAGTGCTAGTCACTCTGGTCAGTGTTAGTCACTTTGGTCAGTGCTAGTCATTCTGGTCAGTGCTAATCACTCTGGTCAGTGCTAGTCACTTTGGTCAGTGCTAGTCACTTTGGTCAGTGCTAGTCACTTTGGTCAGTGCTAGTCACTCTGGTCAGTGCTAATCACTCTGGTCAGTGCTAGTCACTTTGGTCAGTGCTAGTCACTGTACTTGTACTCAGTCTCCCCAGCATGCGTCCTAAGTGTTCATGCAACCTCATTAAAATGGATAACATGCAAAAACAAAACATTTGCGGTAATTATCTGGGAAGTAAAGGTGACGAAGCTGCCACAATGTAGTAGCAAGACGCCCGCATGCGGTTGCGAAAGTTGTGGCTGTAAAACCGAACCGAGCCGGACTTGAACAAAATTAATTTCACATTCTCCCAGGTCTACCAGGCCTTGAATGGGTACCAAGTGAAGTCCTGGGAAGTAAAGGCGACTGGCGTGATGTTCACCACATCACCCCGAATGCCGAATAAACTTTAAAATACAGGGTTAACCCTATATGCCCAATACGCCTCAAGGAGTGGAAAAGAGCACGTTCCATGTTTTTGTTTCTCCAGAAGAGACTGTATCTGTGATTTAAACGTTGCCAGGCGCTTCCTAACTCCCGGATGGCGAGTTGAACTCCAGCTGCTGGCGTTTTGGCTGCAGACCACCTTGTGTTGCTTTCGACATTGGCATCAAAAGCCGACGGTTTAGAAAGCAATGACACACTACTAAACGTAAAATTGTTGTATCAAATCACAAACACAGCACATTGCAGAATCCAAAGCTTGCATTTTTTGCCTGTTGTGGGTTTTTTAAGTAAATGTTAAGTTTAGTAGTTTGCCATTGCTTACTGAACGGTTAGCTCTGGGTATTACAGTCGAAACCAACGCAAGACAAATCGTCCGCAGTTGGGCTCGACCCTGGCACTTCAGAATTACGAAGCGCGTTCACAACGCCTAAGCGACAGATCCCTGTTATACTACCATGCTACTGCTTAAATTTGGCTCAAAGATGGGGTCAGGGCAGGAACAAACACTTACTGTAGGTCTGAGTTTGCCAGATGGCATCACACAAGCCAAGACAAGAAGCTACCACATAGAAATTTGGCTCAAAGATGGGGTCAGGTCAGGAACAAACACTTACTGTAGGTCTGAGTTTGCCAGATGGCATCACACAAGCCAAAACAAGAGGCTACCACATAGAAATTTGGCTCAAAGATGTTAATTGGGTCAGGGCAGGAACAAAAACTTACTGTAGGTCTGAGTTTGCCAGATGGCATCAGACAAGCCAAGACAAGAGGATACCACATAGAAATTTGGCTCAAAGATGTTAATGAGGTCAGGGCAGGAACAGACACTTACTGTAGGTCTGAGTTTGCCAGATGGCATCACACAAGCCAAGACAAGAAGCTACCACGTAGAAATTTGGCTCAAAGATGTTAATGGGGTCAGGACAGGAACAAACACTTACTGTAGGTCTGAGTTTGCCAGATGGCATCACACAAGCCAAGACAAGAAGCTACCACGTAGAAATTTGGCACGTCGTGTTCGTAAGGCCTCCACAGCCAGAGAACAATTAGCAGGCCGACGTTGAAAGTGGCTCCCGCAGCGATGAAGGCAAACCTCTTGATGTGCTTGGAGAAACAACCAATGGTGATGGAGCTTATAGCGCTGACGGTTCCAAAACAAATCAGGATTGGTCCAATTCTGTGCATTCCCATGGCACAGTTAACGTAGGCCTAAGAGAAAGGACAAAACAAACGATGTATTTCACGTTGTGTGTAAACATAAATGTCACTAGAAGGGATAGAATCGCAGATAAAGATATCAGGAAAAGAGCTGGGATGGAACCTGTACTTAAGTACATCAAGAGACAAAAGATAAAATGGTTTGGTCATGCATCAAGACTGCTGCCAGAAAGTATATCACAGAGAGCCCTGTCGCTTAGAAATAATGGAAGTATAGCTAGAGGTAGACCACGCAAGCGATGGATAGAGCTGAAATATCAGAAGCCCTGAATACCCGAATCTACGTAGCTCATACAAAGGCTCTCACTCTAAGTTTCTTCGAAACCTGAAGCTGAAAGGCAGAACAGGACAAGAGAGGAGGAAGAAACATTTGCACAATTTGTCAATGGTCACATGCATTACTTCAGTATTTACACCAACGTCGACAACAACAACAGGAATGAAAAAAGTCGCAACAAGAACAGCACTAAGACAAACAGCAGCAGCCATGTTAACAACAACGAACAACACAAACAGCAGCAGCAGGAGCAACATTATTTCCATAGTAGGTCTGCTAGCCTTCAAGGAAGCACACACAAAAATAGAAATAGCAATACATTTGCAACAACAACAACAACAACAACAACAACAATAAAAACGACAACCTAGATGTGTCACTTTCAAGATTTTTTTTTTCTTCTTCAAGAGTTGAGTTGAGTCAAGAATTGACATCACAGCACTCGGGGCATTTCCATGTATGCTCCGTCCTCATCCTCAGCAGCCAGCGCAGAGTTCCAATACTGATGGTATCGGTCACAATCTGGTTATATGCCCGTCTTGCCTTTCATCTGAGTGTAGTTAGCCGGCCAGACCCTCTAGTTACACCCAGGTGCCTCATTCTCTCCAGATCATAATAATCTTCTTTCTCTACTGATTCCGTTGCTTGTTCCCAAAGGGCCTTGACCACATCCACCTTGTCATTTATCAGTTCACCACCTAGTGGTGCCGATCCAGCCAATCTGTCTGCCTGTTTATTACCCACCTCGCCGGCATAGCCTAGAGAGAAGATCCAAAGTATGTTCTCTACTCGTAATCTTGCAAGTGTAGCTTGTCACTCTGCTCGAAGCATCCCTATCATCACCTTTCTCGGCATGCTTTCAGAGTCTGTTACAATAACGACATGTGTATGCATCTTGTTCTCTAGCCACCGGAGAAATGCAGTTACTGCCTCCACCTCCATTCTCATGATAAATGTTGTGGTGTCATATGCTAGGCTGTCTTGCACTAAAGATTTTCCATTGGCTTTCGCTACGAACCTCCAGGCACTTCTCTTTCCTCTCACCACCGAACCATCTGTATAGATAATCAGATCACCTTTGCGTTAATTGTCATGAATCAACTGTTGGGCTTTCACTCCCACAGCACCTGCTGGCCACTCTCTGCACACCCGGCCCAACGTGATCATAACCCTTCACAGGCAATACTTTTCCTCCAGTACCCTGACCCACTCCTGTCCTCTCCCAATGTTTTTCTGCATGCATACTTGTCTTAATGTGTCTTCTGCTTGAGCCAACCACGACTTTCCCCTTTCCAGCCTCTGACCCTTACCTGCAGCCTAAGCTTCGTACAGAGGGCGTTCCCTGTCTGCAGCTACTCTGAGGTATGACTAGCCTGCAGCACCTTTAGCCTATCTGCATTTCTGACGCAAAATTTTATTGCGGAATATTGTTCGATCGAACTTTAAATTTTCTTCACACGTCGCTCGTACAGGGATTTACTACTTCCACGATCCGCACGCTCCAATTGCTTGTGGACAACCGAGGTTAGTAGTTGCAACCCCATCTAACCCCCCCCCCCCCCCCTGCTCCGCGCATCATCCCACTTAGCCAACCACAGATTTCCCCACCCTCAGCGCTGGTCCAATGACTGTCGGGACAAACCCTGTAGTGCCAGTACTGTGTTGATTAACAAATCCTCTGTTGTGCGTCTCGGTTTTGTTGTTGTTGCTATACCGATCTTAACTCCTAAATCTATCATTCTGGCGACTAATGTGGATTCACTGTCCCCAAAGTCCTCCACCCTTCCAATTTCTCGGAGGGAAATAATAATATCAGCTTGATCCATAGGCTGACCGTCGGTAGTAACACCGTATCCTTCCTACCTATCAGCTCCTTTATTTCCATTGACGCCCGAGGAACCAAGCAGGAAAAATAAGGGTATTAATAGTATTAGTAGTGACTGTAATAATAGTAGTAATACTGTTTTTTGACTTGTCAGCTTTAGTAGCAGTAGCAGCAGCAGCAACAGCAGCAGCAGCAGCAGCAGCAACAGCAGCAGCAGCAGTAGTAGTAGTAGTAGTAGTAGTAGTAGTAGCAGCAGCAGCAGAGATGGCGGCAGCAGTGGTAGTAAAGTTAGTGTTAGTTTTTTCGGAAACAAAACACGTAACTTCAGGTGTTTTGAACAATCTTGTTTCTCTAATGTACCCAATACACGCAGACTGTTTGTCTGTGACGTCATGTGTGGTATCACCTTGCTTTAGAAACAGGACCACAGAGAACTCGGGTCTCGCGTCTCAATTGCCCTCGGCAAGAGCAAAGATTCGTTTCCCTAGAAATTAGTTTTTTTGTTGAGAATGGCCAGTATCGTCTCTCACTGTAATCTGACCAGACTGAACAAATACGCGCCTGTGTGATGCGTCTAATAGCGACACCATTAAAATTATCTTTCCGCTGTGGACTATTTCCTGGTGAGTTGGTGGTGTTTGTTAAGATGTTGAGTGACGGAAGAGAGGAAATACAACTACAGAATGACATCGGTTAGTAGTAACAGTGACCCAGTGAACTATTGTCAGCACTAGGTGAAGTGTCAAACTTTCTATGTCCTAGTGCCCTAGACAAAGTGGTGTACGTCTCTGTGTGCAAAAGATCGGATCCACAGCTTCGGGGCTCCCTCCTCCCCACGCGGCGAACTGAGAGCATATACTCTACTGGTAGATAGAAGAAAGGGAGGGACCAAAAAAAAAAAAAGAATATGGCAAAGAAAAAGGATAAGATGGAGGAGGAGGAGGAAGAGAAAGAAAAAAGGGGAAGGAGAGAAGAAGACGAGGAATAAAGAAAAAAAAAGAAAAAGAAGAAGAAGAAGAAGAGAAAGAAGAAGAAGAAGACGAAAGTGAAGAAGAAGTAAGAAGATGATAAAGAGGGAAAGGTGAAGAGGAAGAACAAGAACAAGAATAAGAAGAACAAGAATAATAAGAAGAAGAAAAAGAAAGAAAAAAAGAAGAAGTAGAAGAAGAAGGAAGAGGATAAATAGGGAAAGGTGAAGAAGAAGAAGAAGAAGAAGAAGAAGAAGAAGAAGAAGAAGAAGAAGAAGAAGAAGAAGAAGAAGAAGAAGAAGAAGAAGAAGAAGAAGAACGAATGACGAAGAATCCCGCAACTTCTGTAAATAGATCCTGGATACGTTTCTCTGATTACAGTGAAGAAAATGACTCGTAGACTGGTTTCTCTGTCGGCTGTCTGTCCTGTTATCTGCTAGGTTATCTCTGTTCTGTCGTCGTTATACACTTCACGAGATGCTGCAATCGTCGGCTAGAAAACGATAACAACGGTTATTTATTCTCTGACAGAGCCTTCCATCGGTAGATAAGGTGACGATTATTTGTTTAACCAGTTAGATACATATCTGCACCACAAAACTAATTTATATCAAAGGCTCACTTCAGACTGCGAACTGACAAGGCTATATGAGACGACGTTTGTTTTTGTAACTTAATAGAAAGACGAAAATTGTCAAAAGAATGAAAAGGGAGGCGCTGTAGAACACAGCGACAACTGAAAAGTATAAGAAGAAGGACGATGAGAAGACAAAAAATAATGAGTAACTGCAACTGCAGCAGTAGTAGTAGGGGTGGTGGTGGTGGTTTGGTGGTGGTGGTAGTTTGGTGGTTGTGGTGGTGGTAGCAGTAGTCGTAGGAAGAAGGACAAGGAAGACAAGCAGGAACAAGGGAAAAAGAAGTGGAAGTAGAAAAAGAATAAGGAGGACGAGGAGGATGATTCAGGAGGATGAGCAGAAGAAGAATAAAAAGAAGAAGAGAGGCTAACAAAAACAAAGAATGTAAACAAGCAAGAAAGAAGCAGAAAGAAAGAAAGAAAGAAAGAAAGCAAGACAGACAGAAAGACAGAAAGAAAGAAAGGAAGAAAAGAAGAATACGAAGAAGAATAAGATGAAGGATCGACTTAATCGCAAGGAGTTTTAATCCATACGGCTTAATGTCTTTCTGTAGAACGAGAAGCCACTCATCGAGACCATCGCACAAAGCACGAGATCCGTAGCTCCAGTCAAGATTTCTGACTACTCCGTAAACACTAAACTAGTGAACTGTTCTTAGTACACTAGTTTGCATAGCGAGGCGCACACGTCATTTAGAGGGGACAGGTGTGATTCTCGGCACGATAACTATATCTTTCGATTTTTATGTAGTTATTGTGTCCTTATATCTTTCTACTTCTTTTTACGAGTGCCTATCAATACATTGTCTGTTTATTTTACATACACATATGTATGTGTGTGTGTGTGTATGTTTGTATGTATGTATGGCCTCAAGAGTTCCCTCTCTGTTTCTTTACGTAAACTGAGCGATACATCCGTGAAATGAACTCACAATCTTTGGATCGCGAGGCCAACAGTTTGGCCACTTCCCCAATGCGACCACCTGTTTCCTGTTTCCTTTTAGAAAAAAAGAAAAAAAAGCACTAACCAAATACATCACCTCGCTGGATCAGGTGCCGGTAACTGAGTCTCTATCAGCGCCAGGAAATCTGTCACGTTTATTTCATGTTTAATTCCGGAAAATAGCGAACCCAGGGCTGCTGAAATACGTGTTTTTAAATTGCCCGATAGCCGTTTGTTAGATGTATCACGTGACGCGATGTTTACGGACCCGGCTGCATGGGCTGCAACTCCTCGCTGTTCTATCATGGGATTTTTTGTGTGTTTGTTTGTTCGACACAGTGTTA